ATTTTATTTTATTTTTTAATGGTGAGTGCCTCATGCTCTCTATTGCTTTGGCCAAATCTAGGTCTGAAAACACGGGAGGGCTGTTCCACAGGTAGTGCAGTGGAAGCTTGTGATCACTTTCTTTTTAAGCAGAACAGCTACTCTGAACTTTGAGTGGCAAATTATAAAGGCTGGTTAATGTTAGTGCCACATGCTGAGCAATAAGCTACTTGTGACATGAACCGAGTTTTCACTTGGTACCAGTTTAGTGTGCAGTGCAATGAGGCTCTGGCTTTTAACATCTGCTGCTACAATGCTACGGTTATATCCTATTGTGCCAAATTAATCCCTGATAAAATATTACTAACTTTAACTGGATTTCAGTGTAGTCATAGGGTTTCTCTTAAGATATAAATTGTGCAAGTGAAAAAGTTACTCAAGAGCTCATTTCACATCTCTGGTGAGCAGTGAGGACATCACAGAGCATTCTGGATGTAGGTATGCAGCTTTGTTTCTTAATTTCAAAATAGCAAACGTTGCCAAATGTTATTTTAGAAAATAGCCTGAACTCAGGGACTTAAACATGAAGACACCTGTCATTTTGTCAAGTTAAAAAATCACTAAACATACAGTGTATATATAAAAAATTTTAAAATTATGGTGTATTCCAGATGACAGTATCTTATTTGGTATTTCTTTTCTGACTTAGTGCAAGAAGTAGGTATATACTGATGACATTTCCTGATGACATGAAGCTGAGACATACAATTAATGCAGGAATCAATTAGGATGCCACATACGAGGACAAGGACACCTTAATGTTGAAGATTAACAGAAATAGGTTATAATTCAGTACCAACTGATTTGCAAGGTCATACGCTTCAGAATTACTAACAGTTATCTCTATTATCATCCAGGGATCTCCTTAGTGGGATAGGACAAGTAGAATCAGAATGGTTTGGGTTGGAAGGGACTTCTAAAGGTCCTCTAGTCCAACCCCGTGCCATGGGCAGGGGCACCTTCCACCAGATCAGGTTGCCCAAAGCCCCATCCAATCTGACCTTGAACACTTCCAGGGATGGGGCAGCCACAGCTTCTCTGGGCAACCTGTGCCAGTGCCTTACCATCCTCATTATAAAAAATTTCTTCCTTATATCTAGTCTGAATCTACCCTCTTTTAGTTTCAAACCATTACCCCTTGTCTTATCGCAACAGGCTCTGCTAAAAAGTTTGCCCCCATCTTTCTTATAAGCCCCCTTTAAATATTGAAAGGCCGCAATAAGATCTCCTTGGAGCCCAGAAGAAAGATGAAAATGCTTACTGACGAAGGATGATTGTGAGACACCAACCTAAGAAGCCTGTGAATACACAATTCTAGGAGACCACAAACTATTTGCAGCAGCTGTGCCATTGTACAAAGTTCTCATAAGGCAGCATTTAAAAGCCTGCATACAAATCTGTGTGGAAAGATTACAAAAAAGACATTCACATAGTACCAGATGGGGGTATCTGAAATCCTGGGGGAAAGAGAAGTTGCCTTCTAAAAGGCGTCTCGGTGAGCTTGGCTAGATGATCCTATTTATCAAAACTGAGACAGGAACATGGTGGTGGTTTATGGAGTCACACCATCAAGTCCGGTGGAGGTCACCATGCTAGTCAGGGGCTGGAGCACATGATATATGAGGAAAGGCCAAAGGAACTGGTTTTACTGAGCTTGGAGGAGAGAAGGCTCGGGGGAGACTTTATTGCAGCCTACAGCTACCTGATGGAAGGATACCTGCAAAGACAGAGCTTAACTCTTCTGAAGAGTGCACACTGATATGATGAAAGGCAATGGATACTGCTGGAACATGGAAAATTCTGATTACATATAAAGAATTTTTATTTTTTTAACCATAAAGATTGTCAAATATTGGAACAGGTGCCCAGAGAGGTTGTGGGACCACCATCCTTGGAGGGCATCCAATACTCAACTTGAAATGGCCCTGAGCAACCTGATCTGATTAGAGCAAGGCTTGGACTAGATGAACTGTACAGGTCCCTTACAACCCAAATTATTCTATGATTCTATGAAAATGCATTAAAAAGGACAGGAAAATCCCCACTAGTTAAACCTAAAAAATATTGCCACAAAAAAGACCATAGCTAACTTTAGGGATCAAAATGAGCAGGTTTAGAATCATAAAAGTTCTTAAACAGTAAGGACAACAAAAATCTACTTACCTTTGAAATAAAATTAGATCAATTTATGAAATGGATTGGAATGAAAAGGACTGCACTAGCAACCCTGGAAGTGCCACATCCCTATGATCTATGTCAACACTTCGTTGTCACAATCCTAAATCTATTTTTGAAACTTAGAGTTTCCAAACCACTGATGACATTTTTACATAAACTCACAAAGCAGTCAAGAAATACGTACCAGTACAACAATTCAGCTTGTTTTTTTCCCCAGTATGAAATACTCAAAAACCACAGAAAGAATTTTCACTGGTACTCACAGCAAAAGAGGAGCGCACACAGCCCCACTCTCTGGGCTGCCAGAATTAGAGCTCTGAGTGTGAGAACCACATGGGACAGGCTGTTGTCACCCACCACCAACGTAATTCAGCCTGCAGCCTACCTCTCAGCTGCCCTCAAGAGTGGGTCCTCAAGAATTGGTCTCAGAAACCAGATTTTTCTCCTATGGACAACAGATTAAGCTTCTGACACCATGTTTCTGAAGAGGGTTCTCTGCAGTCGGAGGAAAAAACAGATCTTGGTTTCATAGTGAAGTGCACCACTCTACACGAGAAAATATTTCCTTGGCAAAAACTTAATTTTGTTGGTTTTGTCTTTCTAGTTCAGCACAGAAAGCTTCACACGTGCTTCAACTGAATAGGTAAGTTTTCAAAACAGAGCAGTTATACACTTTGCATGTGACATTATGAGAAACAGATGAAAATTACCTACATCAGTTCGGAGAATGGCATTCTGCACTTTCCATAAGGGCTGCTGCTCCTCGGTAACTGAAAAGTTTTAACAGCTGCTCTTGTGAAAGCCTATTTGCCAGGTGAAACTTGAGAGCTTTTGCTTTGGCTGTCTCTCAAACACAAGACTAGAAAATGTTTTCCAGAAAGGTTGAGATAGGAGAGATTATTCACAAATTGCCTGTGTCATCACTCAGAGAAGAACTGTCTCTAGCTGGAAATATTTCAGAGATTTTATTGTATTCTGAAAACTTCATTTTATTTCTAACTTATTTACAGTTAAACATTCAGAATCATAAAATATGAAGTATAAAATATTTAACAAAATAGATGCAATTCATGTTGTTCAGATGCACCATAGATACATGATGAAACAGTAAACAGCATAGGAATTTCCTGACGGTCCTCTCTCTCTCATTTATTGGGGAAAGGAGTGTGTAGACCTGCCCCATACATTTTGGTCTGACCAATATGGCGTCAACCTTTCATTTCAGAAAGAACGCCACCACCACTCTGGTTTCTGTGTTCTCAGTCCTCCACAATTACCGTCACTATCTAAAATGCCAACACTAATGTTCAATACATCAGATCCCCTCTGAAGTTGGTATTTTCAACACTTTTTTTTTTTTTTTTTTAAATACAGAATTTCCTAGAAAAGAAGAATCAGGTAATTCAGGCCATATGAACAAAAGAGTCATTTATTATATATATATTCTCTAGTAAGTTATAATAGTCTCTTGGATTTTAAATGTCTTTTTGCTATTTTCAATGCTTAAAAATTATAATTTTAAAACATTAAATATTGTGTTATATACATTATGATTTATTTTCTCATTTCTAAACATGGAGCATTCTCCAAGTAAAAACTTGGATGAAACAGAAAACAAATTCATTGACGTAACAGGCGTTAAAAGTTCACTTCATACAACCATAAATTTGACTATATGAAAAATAGCCAAACATCAATTTGCTCCTATATGGGATTTTTTCTGTTTGTTTTTCTGGTCTTGGGGAGAGGGTTTTTTTGGCTTTTGTTTCTGTACAAACGGAAGGACAGATCTGGTCATTACTTTTGTCAGTGTTCAGTATTTTAACCTTTTTTTTTAATCTCATACCTATTTTATATAAAATAACAAAATATACAGAGAAAGCTGAGTTTGTTACATTAGTTCATACACATACAGTAAATAAAAGTTTTTTATGTATGGCTTTGCAAAGGTAGATTATGAAGTGACTTTTGTATTTTATTTTATTTGTTTAAAAGCATTTTAAGAGAACGTGTTAGTGTGCTTACAATAGCGGCCATGGTAGTCGAATGTCGAGCCAAGAGTTTAATGCTAGGATCACTGGAGGTCTTGCCTGACACCGCTTCCGCAGCCTTCAGAAGACAAATGTAGTTTATTACAACCTCGTCTATCTTAGCTATAATTTCCTGCTGCTGTGTTTCAGAGTTCATGACTTTAACTAAACGCATGCAGGCTTCTGTTAAGCAACAGAGTACTTGAAAGCTGGAAGTCATAGCTAAAAGCATTTCCTCAGGGCTTTTATCAGCCATGGCCATTTTCCTGCAGGCACTTCCCAACTGTCTCGATTCCATAGATAACAGTTGTTTGTACTTAGAAAGTTTAAGGTCATATGTTTCTGGATGTAAATCTTCTCTCCTGCCCATACTTGCTCGGACCAGTGAGAGTAGCTCATTGGCATCCTTTTGTGCTGCAATAAATCCATCAGGCATTGCATACGTCTTCTCTTTCATCACATTTATTCGCGTGATTCGTGCATCAAAGGCCACATCGTTGAGATTCACATCAATTTGGCCACCTTGGATGTCAGCACTGCTCTTCTCATGCGTGTTGACTGCCTCATCTTTGCAGCTTTCGAGGACTCCAAGACTTTCTGCTCATTTTCACTGGAAAATGACTGACCAGCTGGTTCTGTGAGCTCGCACAGGATCTGCGGTTTGAAGAGACATGAGAGCTGATGGCTGTCTTGGTCATCTTCGTCATCGTTGTCATCATTTCCTCTGCTTAGGAAACAATAGCTAAAGGGGCCACGACACCTCCAGGTGCTGGTGTCTAGCTTCCGCAGGGGCAACGTTCGACACTGCTTGGAGTCCTTCTGACTGGTGCCGGTGCCCGAACACCTCTTACCGTCCTTCCGATCAGTGCTGACGTACACACAACTCTGGGAATAACTTTTTGACAGCTTTTTTCCCAGAGGAAGTTCCACTCTTCTCTCCGATTTGGATTCGTCCCTTCGTGTGATGTCCAGGCATTTCAAGCTGGCTGCGCCTGCCTTCTTTTCAAACAGCATCTCAATGTCTGCAGATCCTCCAGTGATGCTGCTGCTGCGTCTCAGCACTTTCCTGTTGTGCGGCATCCTGAGGCTTCCTCCTATCATGTCATATGGCCGTAAACTAACTGTTGCCCCACAAGCCTGATTTACTTTGGGAATGTCACAAGAGTCTTGATTTTGACTTGGCACCTTTGATTCTGATAGCATGGATGATAGCATGATGGAGTCAGCTAGAGGCTGTCTAGGAAAAGCTGTAGGCATGCCTCCTTGTCTTCCCTTTTCAGGCTCTGTGAAAGCTACACTAGGGGTAGTAGAAGAGCAGACAGAATAATTAAGCATCACCCTGATAATATTCAGAGACTGAACTTTTAAATACCTCTAACAGGACAAATGGATTCCTGATATTTCCCAGTGGTCTCCATTCCTCAAAATATTTCACAGAAAAAATTCATTGCTAGTTCCTCATGTCTTTTATAGTTCAGTAAGATGCCTCTTAAAATCTATATCAACAAATTATAACTTATGTATAGTTAATTGTTCATTCCACTACAGTAGACTTATTTAAAAAAAAGGAACAGAAAATCATCTATAAAACATCCTAAATCTCCCCCAATATATGGATTGCATGTTTTCTATTAAGTAATTAGATTAATATTTCCAGATTAAAATACCTTCTTTAACTACACCTGAGAGAGTATGGAAAGATGCATTCACGGTAATTTTGGTTTGGTTATGTGGGTTTTTTGGCAGAGAAACAACATTTCTCATTTTAGTTCCTAGTCTGTTCCACTTTCAGATTTTCATGCCTTCACACACTAGTGCTACATGTGGGTTGCAACCCAGGAAGAGGGAAACATTTAAAACCCAATGGAAAGAATTTCCAATGCTATCTCTGAAAAGCTGCAATTTTTTATAACAGTAGGTTCATAAAATCTCTTGAAATTGGAACTTAAAAAGGCTGTAATGGTTCTATATGTAAATTATTATTTAAGGAAACACCTTCTGTCAGATGGTAAAATAAATACATGCTTAATAAGGTAGTGACATTTTCTCATCCTTACATTAGTGCTTTTTATTCATACTTGCATGTTTTTGACAATCTGCTAAAATGGTATATAAGATACATAATAAACGAATCACAGGGTTTTATCTCCTACGCTAATATACCTTGTGAAGTCATCTTATAACCTAACCAGTATCCTGGAACTCAAATGACTATGGATTCTGAAGAGGCTTCCACGAAGTGGAAGAGAGGCCTCTCCATCAGTGTCCCCCCAGATATTTTTAACTGTCATCAGAAGTTTTTTTAAAAAAATTATCTTTGTAAGCAGCTCATAAGAATATCTCAACACGTACAAGTAAAATGAATAGATACACTGAAGGTCTAATCCCACTGCCTGCTACAGGTTGATGATGTAGTTTCAGGTAAAGATAATGCAAATGTCTCGCCTAGTCCTCAACATTAACATGTAGCTTTAAAAACAAACATAAGAAACGCTTTATTACTGCTGTACCTGTAGTTTCCTTTATCTTGGGGATCCGATGACATCCTTCTCTCAAAGTGCCGAAGAGTGGTTCAGCATTAATCGCTGAATGCACAACTGGCACCGTCATTCTGTGACACACGGCTTCAGGCTGCTGGTGCAGGTCCTTGTATGTCGTTCCATGGTTTGGAAGAATGGCAGCTCTTTCATCTGCTGGAATATAGGCAATGCCCTTCATTGATGGGTCAGAAATAATGTGCTTAACATCAGAGGTACAAAGAGGAGATTCAACGGGGGTAGCACACGTGCTACTGCCTGTGCTGCATCCTGCATCCACTGAAGAGCACTGAGAGCTTTGCAGGGAGAAATGGCCTTCACTTTGCAGAGATGACATGCGCTTAGCCAAGTGATATTCACAAAGCCTAGCCACGCTCTGCTCAGCTTCTGGAAGCTTTGAAGGATGGTCATCTGCAGATAAATCGGTATCTTCTGCGTCGTTTAGGTCTTTGGCTGAAGACACAGGAGTCATATCTGACAGAAAGTTTTCACCTTGGCTAAGCCCCGAGGTATCATCCTGATCCACTTCAGGATGCACTTCATCCTTACAGTCAGTTTCTGTTTTACCAAGGACAGGAACTCTTGGAAAACTCTTCCCGTTCACCGTTTCTGGGCTTGGCTTATCTGCTGCCCCATCATCAGCAGTGTACCATCTTTGGCGAAAGGCAGTTCTCTCCACATTAAAAGTGCTTAGGCGTTGACTGTCTCTTGCTGAAAGAGTTCCAAATTTAGCTTTTAGATCTTCCTCAGTCTCTGCTTTTTTAGGTCCCTGTTGCTTTTTCACAGTAGCATTGCCATCAGAGGGTGCTTTTACTTCGCTGTCTGTCATCTTATTTTTCCTTTTACTAGTGCAAGAATATACCAAGGATCCCATGTGCAATTTGCTAAAATAATCAGTGACAGATTTTGTTTCCATGGTCTCTGGCTCCATTTCCATGTTATCTGAATGAAGAATCTGCTTTGAAGGCACAACTTTTGACTGTAGCTCTGCGGCCTGACGACCAGCCAAAGGCTGCGAGGGCTTCACGCCTGGCCCTCCAGCCTGATTCTTAGCGATGGGAAATTCAGTCTGCTCTTCCACAAGGGGTTGGTAGCCTTCACTTGTGGTCAAAAACATACGTGCAGTGTTTTCTGACTGTTTCTGTGCCGCGGCTAGTTCAGAGCTTTCAGTCATTTCAGAGGAATTTGTTTCATTGCCAGAATCTGAAGATGACTCAGGGCTATATGCTCGCAGGATAGCTACACCTGCAAGCCACAAAAAATAAGAGTCAATTAAATGACAGCAGCTGAAGCACCTGGATAAGTGACAAGCAAAGGGGGTGTGTTAGAGACAAAAATAGGCTTTGTAAGAATACTCTGACTTTATTGCACAGTTCCCAGGACAGGTAGTTTAATAACATAATGGTAGTTCCATTAAATAATATGGAATATGATGTATGCAAAATGATGGCAAAAAACACAAAGGAAAACAAAAAAAACCACCAACCCTCATGAAATGGAGTATTTCCAAAGCTAAATGGATGAGATGGAATGATTTTCAATGAATAAATGTAACTATGGTGAAAGAACCTGAATTGTCATTCGTCTGCTGTTCCTCTGAAGCGGCCAAAGCTTCTAGTGCTTGAAGTGTAGAGACTACAGCATCATCTAGCCCCTTCTCACACTTCCCCTCTGTATTAGTAGGGACAGCATCGATAAGCGACACTGGAATGTCATCGTTGCCTAGATTACTGGCTTGCTCCTTGCTGTCTCTAGGCTGCATTGCTTGATTCTGAGAGTCTTCCTCATCTGAACTGTCCCTGAAGCCAGGTGGAGGAGCAGCAATGGCCATGTTTAAGGTGTGCAATAGGAAATCATCTTCATTATCATCACCTTCCGGAGGTGGAAGTGAAGTCAAATCAATAATGTCATCACTAGAACCAGAAAGGCTGAGAAGAGCAGGCCTATTGATTTCTCCTACCATAATGTCTTCTTCACAGCTTACTTCATCTTCATCTTCAGCATCATCTGTGTTTTCTGCATAACAAATATCATGCAGCAAAGGCTCTTCTATCCCTTCCGCAGCTCCAAATATTTTACTATCGTTTATAGTTGCGTAAACAGAATTTGTAGCAAACTGAATGCTTTCAGCATCCGGTGACAACTCCAGGCCTTTAATGTCATTGGCATTACTAATATAAATGGCTCTTTGTTTTTCTAGTTCTTCTGGACTTTCATCCAAAAGCCTTTCATAGCCAAGAGTCTGGGGATTGATACCATCCAAGTTGTGATCTCCAAATATAAAGGAAACTTTTGCTCCCCTGGGGGAATCCTGTGCTTTCTTGCTAGATTCCAAACCTGAGAGTGACAGCAGTGAAGGCTGATTAAAATTTCTGCTTTCTTCTGCTTCAGTGGGGTCACTTTGCTTGGCCAGATGCTGATCAAATCCACCTGAATTATAAGTATTTTCTATGTACAGATGTCTGTGTTCTTTTTGACATAACAGACTTTCAGAAACATCTACAGTCTTCTGTTTTGGATCAGCAAAGGACATTTGAGTCTCCTGATCTCCTTCAGCCAGGAAAGTGGTAGTTTTTGGTATACAGTTCCACTCAGAAGCAAGGAGATTATGCTTCCCTCTATTTTCAGTTCCTAGAGCATGGTGAAATAAAATCAATGTTGTGAAATCGAAGAGCAAAGTCATGTAATTTTTAAACAATAACTTCTTAATGCTGAGCAATAAACACTCTGAATAGGACAGCTAAGCCATCAAACATTTCAGAAAAGCCCTGTCAAACTCACCTCTGCTCTAAGTTAAATACCTGTTGATTTAATGACCTAAAGTTTAACTGGTACTTCTGTACTTTAGCACAAAACTAAACCTCACCTAGGTACAAATGCTATTCCAGGAACAGTAACACAAACTCAAATCCCCAGCTGGTTTCTCCAACACCATATGTATTCTTACAAAAGATACATGCATATAAAATAATAACACTCACAGGGAGCATGCATCTGTTTCACTACCGTATGAAAGAAATTCATCACCTGGTTTTTACCATTAAGATGCTATCCTAGGCTGAATATTACAACATTATAAAGCTGAACTGATGTACTGTGGTGCTAGGTCTGAGCCAGCAACCAGATCTCATTTGGCATAGCCTTGCATTTATCTGGAGGTGCACTGGCTTAAGTTGGCTTCTGCATTATACGTTGGACCATTGTTAACATACTGTGCAATGAGTACCTGTTTCTCGGCTCCCTGTATTTTTCTTGTTGGCCATGTTAAATATTGAGCGCCTTGAGTCGACCAGCAGTCTATAGTATCCAGCTGTTAGGCAAGCAAGATTCATTGCATCTGATGACTCCATCAGTAGAGTAATAGGCTAAGAAGAACACAATCAAGTCTTGGTTAAGGCTGTTCCTCCTCAAGCTGTTTACCTGCTGACAATACTACTACATGGAAGCAAAAGGAATTACATCACAAGCACCACATTGAAAAATACACACGAGAACTTACTGTCCTCATGACCAATATCAAACAGTATCAAACATTTAGAAAAGATTGGAGTTGCAGTAAGGTAGAAGTCCAACCGGACATTTTAACAGCTGATTTTGCTCTCTGAATGAATGAAGCTGACCATTTTAAGACTCTTGCTCCAGCTTTTTCTTGCACAGATACATTACTCTTGCCAAAACACCGTTTACTGTTACTCTGAAACTGCCAAGGGCTAAGAACCTGGTATATTAGGCACTGGAGTCTTGCAGTAGTATGAGAATCTGAAGCTTCCCAGAAAATAAGGTGCCTTAAGGACATTTAAAGAAGCAAGATATAGGAAGTAAATAGAGTCAAGGAAAGTTCAGGTTCCGAAAATACAGTAGTGAGGTTAAAGCTATCATTACATGGCAGTGACAGTGAATATTACAATGACAGCTTAAAAGATTTCAGTGTTTGTGGCCTGGCATTACTGAAAAGACAAGTGATGAAAAAATAAGCAGACAAACAGAGACAAAGAGAATGGAGATAGATCCTCAGAAGGGAGGTCAGCAAAGAGAACAAACTCAAAGCGTTTAGAAAAAGAAGTCAGACCTAACAAAAATGAGAGACCTCAGAGCTTTGAAAAACTGTGGCTGCCAGGCTAGCAAGCATCGAACCTGAGAGATCCATGTGAATTAAATCTTTAATTCCCTTTTCTTTTGCCACAATATATAAATTTCTTTGCCTAAAACTTTTGTTCATGCCTCTGTAGCTTTTAACACCAAAAGCTGCTCTTCTCACTTATTTTAAGGTGGTTAGCCTCTATGACTCCTAGGAGGGAAATAAAAATGAAGCTTTTACCATGATACATAGATAAAATTACACTATAGACAACCCATCTTATCACTCACAGTTTGTAGTGACTCATTGCTTTGTGGACATTTGTGACAATTTATCATAATTTAGCATGCAGAGCCCACTGTCACAAGACAGATGCAAGACCTGCATCATTTGTTCCAGGAGGAACATTATATGCAACCAGGATGGCTCTCCAACTTACCCAACCCCTTACCAGTTAGAAGACAACCAATTCTGATGGAGGCTGTGGCCAAAACATAACTGATAACTTTTCTAATGCCTGTGCTGCAGCATATTAGGCCAAAATACTCTGGGTGCCCTGAATATCGTATGAACAGTTTTCAGGAACATGGAAAAATTAATGCATTTTTTTTTCTTTAAAGTATTTTGTGCTACAGTTTGAGCTTCTATTCAATACATGCTTCTTTCAAAGCATTCAACTACAGCTATAAAAGTTAACTATAAATTATTAAACCTACAATGGGCTAATTAATCTCTGTCTTTTGAGTGACTACTAATAACTAAAATTTGAAATGCTACGTTTATCTCAAATTTTCTGCAGCAATGGACAGAAATGGATGATCTCCACAGAAATCTCAGATTGCTGAAAACAGTGCTACTGTTAATCTGCTGAACAGTCCTGTGATAGCTAAACTATTATTGCCTGCTTCTGCCAAGTGCTACATGCTTGAGAAGATATTAAAAAGAACCAAAATTAAAATAAAAATCCAAACTGTTTATTCATTAAGAAAATATTGGCATATATGACATACATTGGCGTATTCAGAATCTGCTACCTTAGGGTAAGCCAAGGGATGAAAACATCAGTGGAGAATACCTACCTGTGTGCGCCTGCATCTCCTCCACAGGACCAGCCCCTGCTTGTGCCCCACAGAGAGGCAATTTTTTGTCAAATTCCATCCAGACCCTCCTAAATTTGTAATTTTAATGTTAGACCAGACTCTCTGGGTTTAAGATCGCATGTGTCAGAATGCAAGGAGGTGGGGATATACATGGTTTGCAATAAGACAGTAACAATATTATAATATAAAACAACATAATACCATGGTAATATAAAATACAATGGCATACAGTGCTGCATTTTACATATGAGCAGATGGGAAGGATTTAATTTCTATATTACTTTCTCCATCTGTAAAAAGGTGGTAACAGCTTTCTCACAAGAGGGCTACAAGTTTAGCACAGTAATGCAAGTAAAGTAGCCTGAGAGCTTCAGATGTTATCATTGCTAAGTAAGGTGAAAGAGATGCTGTGTTCACCAACCTGTACATTTCTCTTAAGCTGCTGTCAAAGAGCATCTAGATTAATATACAGCAATGTTTTTTTCATTAACTTAAATACAGGGAAACAGTTCCAGGTCAATAAACCTAAAGCATTCAAAGCAAAAGCCTAGTAAAATATTCCTTGTGTATGTGTTTTTGTGTATAGCTGGGTAAGCAAAAAGAACTGTTAGGCTCTACTTTAATGGAATATTTAAGTTTCAAGTATAATGAGAACTCTTCCTTCAATCTCTGATTATCTTAATTAATGCTGAAGACAGTCTATGAAGCCTTTCACTTCAAAACCAAATAGAAACCACACCGAGAAGAACGAGGACAATATAATATACAAAACTCCACTCATTGCCACTAGATGCCTCAGATGCAAAGTGTTACATGGGATTGAAGAGAAATTAAATGACTATCGGTAGATGAAGAGTATCTGTGAGTATATTATGCAGTGCAAAGCACTGAACTGGAATTATAAGGGCTAAGGAAAAAACCTTGCCTTTTTACATTTTATTTCATTGGTAACCGCTACACGGTTACTTGCAGTGAACTTTGCAGGTAAAACACTGGATTACAGGAGACACTGGTCTGATGCAGCTGGCAATTCTCTAATGGTAATAATATTGTCTGTTACACTAGAAGGAGCTTCTTGGGGCTCAAGGAGCTTCAAAAGAAGGCCAACTTCTTCATCACCTCTTCTCATCATGGACATCAAGGAAGACAACAACAAAGCGAGTTGCCTGGGGTCAGCCAAGAGAAGAATCAGAATAAAACAGAAGTGCTGCAAAGCACCAGTCTGGTACGTTGTAGGCCCCTCAAATGCCCAAGCTACATGCGCTCTGACCAAAAAGGAGCTAAAAATGCACCCTCAGAATATTACTGGCATGAAAATGTTCAGAACAGTATAGCTTGATCAAATACTCAAATAAAGACAAAAACATTATTTAAAGACGCTACAACAATATAAATCAACCACAAACTTACTTTTACATCTAAGACATGCAGCTCAACTCTAACACTGCTTTCATCTTCGGTAAACATCTCAATCCTGTTCACGTGGCTGAAGTCTGCCAGGAGAGCCACCAGGTTTGTTTTGGTGTTTATCACGTGACTGATTCCATACCGCGGCCCTACTAACAGAGTCACTTCTGAACGCTTTTCTCCCTGCTTTAGCAGAAAAAAAGCAAAAGTAAGAAACATGATAGGTACTGCATAGTGACAGAAATCGCCACTGCCTTCTTTCATTTTCATGGAGCTACGTTTGCATGGCATTTCTACATTAAAGATTACTATGTTTTTCTAAGAAGATACGATATACAAGAGCATACTTGATTCACAGTTAAAACCAGAAAGTAAAGGAATCTGCTGCTGGATATTGACCATACTCTAGTTTTTAGATGGATAGTTGGATGGACAGACAGATGGATGGATGAACTCTGCTTCTGTTAAAAGAAAATATTTGTCATTAAGAGTTTTCCAGACTAGTAATTTTAGTATTCTATAGTTAATGGGATGGCACAATGTGCCAAAAAGGGGCTACCTTTCTCCAAAACCCCAGTAAATTCAAATTATAACAGGAATGTTATTTTCAAGATGAAAAAAAAAAAAAAGTTATTTGGTTCAATTAACAATGGTTTTTTTAGTGTATATATAACACCTAAACTTCTAAAGAAAATGACATGGTCTACCTTTTGCAAAAAGGCATTTGGATAAAAAAAAAATCAAGAGAAGAGAGAGACTATTTCAAGAGAAATATTACCACTAGTGTTGCCTTGAAAACACGCCCTCCATATAATCGTAGATCACTGAGGAACTTTAGATAATGCACCTTGGCTTGCAGAGCAGAGAGCTGGGGAAGGAGAAATAGGAGTAAGAGGTAGTGGTGGAAATCAACACATTACCAAATTCAGAAAGAAAATGTATTTGTGTAGTCTAAGGAGAATGGACTGCAATAACAGCTCCTCACAGCCTGAAACTAAATCACTAGATGCTTGAGTTTCAGATAACGATAAACAGTTTCATTCTTAAAATTAAGATCTTGCTTGTTTAGTTAAAATGCACTGAGGACTTGGGTATGGGCAGATCAGAGCACTGCATGAACATCGCAAAAGCTCCAATGAAGGGAAAATGTTAAACTACTCAGATTAAACATCTGCTCATTGAGGGATTTCAAGGCTAGAGAGCAGCTTTCCATTTAAAATCACCATCAGTTCTTAAACATTTATGTACCTATACAGAGAAAGACAACAAACAATTTGCTTTTGTCAGTTATGTGTATTACATTTTGCTAGGTCCTTGTGGCATATGGCAAATTATTCCACTTCATTAATGCATTTCCTATTTTTGAAAATAAAACCCTTCCACTATATTTAGTAGGGAATAAATCTGAAAACTAAATACAGTACATCGCTACATATGATCATATCATGCAATACATGTCATAATTTATCTCCTTTTTTCTCCTCTGAGCTTGAACTACCTACTTAAAAAGAAACAATTTGGAAATATTTTATGAGACTGAATGGAAACAAGAAACAGTTCATTTTACCCAGACAGTCTGGACCCAAACCTTATACCTCCACAGTGTAAAACCTTATACCTGGACTTTTAAAAGATAAGATAAAACAAGCTCATCTCATTTGCTATTCTCATTTCAGCTACTAGATTTCTAATTCAAAATCGTACTTGACCTTGAGCAGAATTTTAAGAGCCCCTATCCTAATGTTTTTCTAGACACCAAGGAAGAAATGGATCTGAAGCAGAGCAACTAGTTAGTGGTAATGCTTTCCCCTTCCCTTCACCAGGTGTTCAATTGGTGGAGAAATACACAGGGGTTGTAAAAAATGGGAGAATCCTGAGAATGACAGGCTTCCCTTCATGCGGAGGAAAAGAAGACCCCAAAAAGAAATCAGTTCCTGCATTAGTACCCACAAGTGAGACAGAAGGTGACGATGAGATCAGATGCTTTGTTTCTGAGATCTACCTACTAAAAAAGCAGGTGGGCACACAACATAATTCCAAAGCTCCAATCGAAAAGAATGAAGCAAACCCAACAAAGTCTGCTTGCTGCAGGAAGGGACTGTTGCAACCCCTCTTCTAACCAAGAACCGCTACTGTATGCCACTGCCATCATCTGCAAGGCCTGCCGCGGTGAAGGCTTCCAAAATAAAACCCGAATACACACTACCAGGATATAAACAATAAGCAACTGGCATTATCGAGCTTTAGCTTCAGCAGTACAGATGTGCAGTGCATCAGTCAAAAAGACAGCCTTTCTTCCTGAGCATTGCAGGTCAAACACATAAAGCTACGTTCACAGTCATGAGGTGATCTGATTCCTCCAAGCAGGATTTCTGCTGATCACAATGAACCTTAGCTCAGGCATCAGGTGTTTTGGGGTTTTTCTGTTCAGAAACAAAGTGTCATGAAGCAGGATTCAACTCATTCGATGTCTCAACTAGTCACTCTTAGGTTCTTTTTATAGTCCACAGAGAGAAACAGGCATTTCTAGGACACAAGTCATCTGACCTATTTTTGGTTCCTAATGTGGGATGGGATGACTCGCTCTCTAGAAGTACCTATTTCTCTCCATTGACTACAAAGAGAGACTAAATGACTTGCAGAGAGAAACCTCATTGTGGTGTCTAAACCCAGCCCCGGCTGTATGCATGTTACAAAGGCATTTCTCAGAGACATTGTCTTCTACATGTTTTTCCCAGCTGAAGTGAAAGCTTAGTGCTAAGAAAAGCATTTTACAACTGCAAGGAGGGTCATTTACTGTAAGGACCATCATCTATCCGGTTAGATCTCGGCCCGTGAAAAGTCTCTATCTACAGCATAAAGGAAAACAATCCTGAAAAACAGCATTTATGTCAGGTCCATAGGTTAATGTGGTTCAGATGAGAGCAGCAGAGAGAGAACAATAACTTTCCTAACAAGTCTGCCATTAATAGGAAGCACTAAATGCATTAAAAAATACGTATCTTTATCATACATGAAACATTAATAACCACTTTTCTGGCTCTCTCAAGATAAGAAGATAGTTTAGTTGGAGTATAATTAATTATTTTTAATTGTTCTTGGCTATGTTGTACCGAGCACCAAAAGTTAAATCTCTGAAAATATAACGGCTAGGTGTTTCTCCGAAGGATTAACTTTAAATGTTTCCCATGCACACCACCCTTTCTGTTCTTTCAAACATATTTTCCATTAAGATGCAAATGTAATACCTTTTTACCCGGAGGAACGAGGTTTTGATTTGCTTTGACAAGGTGTGAAAGTGCTTTCTTTATGTTCTTTTCTTTCATGCTTTGCAGCACAGCAGATGGAAGAAAAGTCTCTAATCCCCATTCTTTTCTGCAATAAAAGGCATATATTTAATTTCACGTTCCTGTGATGATTGTTTATCTAAAGACTGGTGACTATGATGCCAAGTGAATAAACACCTGAAAACAGAAGGAGAGTTGATCAAGTCCAGAGTTTTGCAATAACACATTATTTTCTACATTCAAACTATGTATTACTTATGAAAAAGATGCTTTAAAATGATACATAATCTCTCTTCTATCCCTTCCATCTCTTCCATCATGCCATTCAGAAGTTCTAAGTTTTTATGTCTCAAGTCTATGCTGTATTGTTAAACACCACTTAATTAAACAGGCAAGTACCATTACAGAATTAAAATCACAGAAGATTTAACAACATAATGTCAGATTTAATTTTATTTTCTAGGCTTTTTTTAGAATATGCAAACCAGCCAGCCATTGTCTTTGTCACTTATATTTTGTGGGGTCCCCCCCCCCAAAAACAACCAGTCTCCCTCCCTTTACCAAATTTTCTTTTCTGCTTGAAGTACCCCTTTTGACAGAAGACTGACTCTTCACTTGTAAGTAATTATTTCGGCTGATTCATTAATAGGATACAATATAACATGATCTTCAGTAAGGTGGATAAACTCTACAAGATTGAGTGTGCAACAGTTATTATTTCCATTCTGCAAGTAAACTAGCAACAAAAGTTTTGGTGTTTGGGTTTTTGGCTGTCTTTTTTAAATCCAAGCAGATGTACACACAGTTGCATTTTGGAAATTTTCTTTTTCTTTGTAGTTACATATACATGTTGTCTAACATAAAACAGGTGCCTGCTGGGACACTTCTATACTTAAGAAATCTTACAAATGGAATCTAAGACCCTGCAGTCTTCTGAACCAAGAAATTATCTGAATCGTACTATAATAATCTCTACTAAAACCTTACAATTCAGACTACACAGACTTAGATCTGACCGTTAAATCATTGAAAACAAATGCATTAATCTTATTTACATTTATAGGCTATTTCACGTGCCTAAACAGATGACCAAAAGGTAAATGGACCAAAAGGTCCATACTTACAGCTCTTAACACACTTGAATCAATTTCAGCGACAAAGAATGAACCTAAAATTGGTGCATGCATATAGACATATTAAAGAAACAACCTTAAAGAATCTACGAGTTACTCCTAATATTCCACTTTTAAAGAACATACTGCATTGAAAACTTACTCTATATATTTGAGAGAGATTTTCTGAGTTTGCTTGGTGGTCACAGTTGCAATATACATTTGTAATGCAGCCAACCGCAGGGCAATGTCGTATTTCAGTTCTGGTCCAAATCTTTCCTGAACCACATCGTTACAGCTCTACCAAAGAACCAGTAGAGGGAGCATCAAGTTAAAAAATTTTGCACTAAAAAAAAATTATAGGCCTTCCCCCCCCCCCCCCTAAATTATCATTACATGAAAAGTAACCCTGAATTCAGAAGCAGGACCATGCCAAAGGTAGGACTCTTGCTCTCAGAGGTGTCAGATGTTCACCAAGATACGGGCACTTCTGAAGAACACAAGTACTTCTACCAAAGAGCAGAAGGCATGGGCATTTTGATCTAAGCTCTCTTCATCCTTCCTGAGAAGAACAGTAATGCTCTTTCACAAAGAGTGCTGGGAGGGTTATCAGTGTATCTGGACTCAGGATAGCACAATTCTACCTGGTGAGATACCCAGGAGAACCACATTGCTTGTACATCAGTTTTCTCATCCATTTTACTGGGAGTTCCTTTTCAGACATTATTTCTGTCTGATATTACAGTACCATAAATAAGTATTAGCAATTAATTCAGCTTCACTCTTTTCTAAAGCCAAATATATTTTGGAAAGATATCAAAGCATTACTATTTGGAGAGACTTATAAAGGAAAGGGACTTTGCAGATGATAAAGATTTGCACATTCCCCAAGTGCATTCGTTGGCTTTATGCAGCAGAAATAAAAACCAGGATTTACTGCAGCCACGTTTTTCTATGTGAAGATATAAATCCATACATACACTGAGTGCAACTACCTTTTTATTCTCCTTTACACTAACAATGGCCGTCCTTTCACTTACCTGTACATAGAGATATTCAAAAGCAACTGGATCTCTTCTTAAAAGATCAATGGGATCCTTTGGGACAAAGCTAATCCTGAAAAGACATCTCATCTTATGCGAGCTTGGCCTCTGGGTCACCTAGGACAGTGCAATAATCATATGTGAGCTTGGCAACCCTGGTCGAGCAATGCGGTCTGTAGTCTTGGGCAATGTGACCCTGCTCTAGAGCCATGTGGTAGCAAAAGCAATAATTCTATCCAAAAAAGAGCTTTGCCACGGGCTCCTTATTAAGTTCTTCACGTAAGAACATCATATATATAATCTTGTGGAAAGACTTTTGAACTCATATATAGGCATGACTGCCCAATACAACTCATCCTCAAAGCAACAGAATTCACTCACTCAAAACCAGAGTGAAAGGACAGAGAAAACAGACCTTAATGAAATCCATCCAAGTGAAATACAAACTGAGTTGTG